TCAGGACCCCACTTTGGGTCCCGACTCCAACTTTGGGAAACACTACTTTATAGAGTTCTAAAATATTTGTAGAAAACTACACTTAGCTTCAGGTTGAGTGTAATTCTAAAACCTGCTGCTAGATGGCGCTTCAGAACTGTAATGTGGCTTTTTAATATCCTCAGAATGCTTGTGTTAAATATTCAGTCAGTAAATATATAGATGGTGTACTTATATATAAATGATACATTACCAAATCAACACAAGGCTGTTGTTTTTTTCATCTGGACCCCCTCTCTCCCCTCCCTCTTCTCCCCTGCTCTCACACTCTTTCCTACATGCTGAGTTCATTATATTATGTACTCCAGTTAAAAGAAGCAACTACTTCACAGCATCTATTATAAGATGGCCTATTTATAAATCTGTTTGAAAAGCAGTGTAACAAGCTGACATAAATTTTTGAGATGCACCATCATCTTTAACTTCTAAGTTTTATATCTGCTTTTGCAACTTCTTCTAAAGGATTTTTAAAGGGTTCATCAAATATACTAAGTCTTTCCAAGTTTGTACTTCTGATAGGTTATTCATTTCCTCAGCAGTCATCGATCATAAATCACAAGTCAATACAAGTTAGCCAGGAAACAGACTGACTGCATCAGACCTTTGGGATTAAAGGTCAACTAGGTTTAATAGTTGCTCATCCCTGGCTTTAAGATATGTATGAAAAATCTCCTCTATGATCTTAAAGGAAAGTTTAACACAAATTAGTTTAGAACAAATACATTGGGTCTGTATAATGATGTAAATTTACAGGTTGAATTTCAATGATGTTTCCAGGGCAACCTCATTGTTTATTCCATGTGACCTGTGACGCGGTCACTTTGTGCGCTCGTAACTATGAAATGGTCTATTGCTGCCATCTTTAATCTCAGAAATATGGTATTTCACAAGAAAATTATGATAAAGTAAGAGTTAAAGACAGAAGCTGTTTTAAGATGAAAACAACCCATTTTAGACATGAGTCAGCTCAGGTTAGCAATTATTAGCTTGCTAACATGGTCTGAGTGGACTCATTGCCAACTCTGGTTGATGTCTCAAAACAACCCCAGATTTTTAAAATATCAGTGCTTTGTGCAAATATTATTATTTAAATCACTACATGACCATTAAAAGACTTAGCTTTCTGAGTGGCAATGCACAGATTGTTAAGCCAGAAATCTTGTTTGCAGTGGTGGGCACAGTTCCCTTAAAGTACAAATAGGGGAACTAATTTCCTGATCAGCGCTTTAGGGCGTTTGCTATTTTTTAAATTTATTAGTGGATTAGCATTTGCTAAATTTATTGGCTAAATTTAGAAGCACTAACTGAGGTCTATAAATGTTACTGATCAACGTTAATGTTAACAGCTGAGGGTGAAAGATGTCACACATTTTGTTCATATACAGTATGTGTCACTGATCCACCAGGTGACAATATATGAACACAAATGCAGCTGTGGAATGTCAATGATAATTCTCAGCATGACAATATATGACTCATGTTGTCCGTTGAAGAATGTTCATGGGGTGACTGGGTTATTTTAGTGCTTTAGAATTAGCTTTTGCTAAAAATTTCAGTGCTTTAGTGCTTTAGAATTAGGAACCTAAATATTTGAGTTAGTGTTTTAGGGCTAGTGGGACAAATTTTTAGATTAGTGCTGGCCACCACTGCTTGCTTGTTTGTTACTGACCAAATACTTATTCTCCACCATAATTTTATTTTTCGTTCTTTGTTTTGCTCTCAGAGGAGTAAGACACCTTTTCCCTCTCTCCTGCCCTTCCTTATCTTTCCCTGCTTTGCTGCTCAGAGCCTCCTCTAAGTTTTTCATCCAAAACCAAAAATTAAGAATTTATTTTTATGGTTTTGGTTAGCTGGTCTCTTAATAAATTTTTGGAACGATTTTTTTTTCCATGGGAGGACTTGTCAAAGGTGGGACCTCTGTTCTGGATATATATTTGGATTCTGATCACTGGATTGATACAGATTGGATTGGTGGTCTCCTGGTGTTCTACAAAACAGCATAGGTGGCTATTCAGGCCATTTCCTGGCTGCCTAAGTATGAAGGCTTGCCGTTCTTTCAGCACTCAGACTTTAGCCTTGAGCGAGCTGGACTCAGTCTGCAAGCGGTTCTGCTGAGGGTTGCAGGCCGGCTGTAGTTCCTGGACTTTGCTGGCGAGATGGAATTGATCTTGGGGAAGCTGAGAGCTCGACTCGGTGGGATTGTCCACACTATTTGTCAGATTGGATTCACCACCTTGAGATGTATCAGCAGACATGAAAGCAGATGGAAAATTGTTATTGTCTGCCTGACTGAAAACATTTCTCTGTTCCCAAACAACTGATTACATTACCACAATCTTCTTGAATGGGTGTTATTAAATGTAATTTCATTGTGCTCCATACAATGACAATAAAGGAATCAATCAATCAATCAATCAATCAATCAATTTGCAAATAAATTCAGACAATGTGATTTTCTAGATATGTTTTCTCATTTTTTCTCTCATAGTTGAGGTCTAACTAATATCAATTACAGGCCTCTCTCATCTTTTTAAGTGGGAAAACTTGAACAAGTGTGGGTGACCACTTTTTTTCTTTTCTTTTTTTTTTTTTACAGCGGATTATAAAGCTATGCTGATCTAAAAGGAACGAGTAACGTCAAGCTTCCTAGAAATGTAGTGGAGTAAAAAGTACAATATTTGTCTTTGAAATGTAGTGGAGTAAAA